GGGCCTTTATTGGGGTTCTTAATATGAACCCCTAATATCTTGGGGTTGTAGGGCCAGGGTTTCTTATAGTCAGGTTCCTAGATTAAACCTCAGTTCTAAGTCAAGGCAGGGAGCATAATGCGACCCCACGGGTCCTTAGCGACGAGAGCTTCTGGGATGCGGTTTAGGCTTGCACAAGGGCTCAGCTCTAGGCTTTAGCGTTCGGGCTTAGGCTTAGGCTTCTTTCTTACATGCGGTTGGGCTTGGAGTTTGAGGTTTAGGTTTGATGGCTACTTGAGGGTCGCTGTTGCAAGGGGTAAGGGATGTGTTTACAAGGGCTTCGGGTGTCTGGCTGTATGAGGTTTTATCCGTCTGCTACAAGCGCTTAGAGTTTTGACTTTCATCACAAGGGATTGACATTCTGACTTCTGTTAGTGTCGGCAATTTAGAGCTTGATTGGGTGTTGGCTGCATGCGGGCCTTTTGAGATGCTTATTGTCTAATTTAAGCTTGTCAGGAGTGAGTTGGAGTTGTTTTAGGGCCTCTTGTTCAGGTTTGCGGTGTCCGGGGTTTAGCATGCACACTTATAAGGGCTTCGTTTTGGGTGGGGATTGGCTCAGGGCCTTGTAGCTGCAGCTCCGGGCGCTCGGGTCTAAGGCCCTATATTAAGGAAAACCCAAAAATGGCTTACAGAAATGCTCTGAAACGGTTCACTTTAGGGTTTAGGGTTTAGGGCGGATGTATCCCTGTTAACCCTTAACTCTGTGCCTTAGATCGCATGCGTGAGGTGCTTGTTAGTAGTTTATAAAGCCCCCCGGAGAGCCCAATACCCCCTGCTAAAAACAGAACCTACCTGAATTCCTAATGTCAGGCACCGTGTGATGGATGGTATATTCCTTCGATAAGGGGAATTTTTTATAAACCCTATAGAAACCATACCACAGATCCTTACAACTTCCCAAGTATCCCTTACTTGACGGGAAATCGCCTCTCTCTCTCTCTCTCTCTCTCTCTCTCTCTCTCTGGAAACATTGTGGTTTGGGGGCCGGGCTCAGCCCTAAACCATTCCAAACCCAACCCCAAAGCTCGAAGGTTTGTTTCAGACAGTGGAGGTTTTACGGGCATAGAGCTTACGGCCTTGAGGGGGACGCCGGAGGCTTAAGGCTCTAGGCTTCATGGTTTATGGGGCCTAAGGTCTGAGGCTTAGACTGCTTAGATGCACGAGTTTTGGGCTTGGGGCTTGTCTGTCGAAGGTGAAGGAGAGCACCTCCTGTCCTCCTTACCCTTGTCTGCTCAGCTAGGCCTGGCGCGTGTGGTTCTGTCTTGCTCCGCACACTACCGGAACACCGAGAAAGCCCAGTACGGAAGAAGACGAACCCAGACCGGAAAACCGTGCCAAAACTACAAGGCCCACTGCACAAAGCTCCTCAACACCAGACTGCCCCAAAGCAAAAAGTTTATACAGTATTGTAGGGGCTTTAATTAAGAGCTAAGTTAGGGTGTTGCGGTATCTTGTGCTTCAATCATCATGAACATATAGCACCCGACCGAATCATGTAGCTACTTATCCAGGCCCCTATATCGAGTTTATTTCCACCTGGGCTTGCAACATATCATACCTGTGTAAATGAGCATTAGGATGAGTTCGGTGCATGGACTGGGGTCGGCTGTCCAGCCACTAACCCGAACTAAACTCTCCACGTCGAAACCCCTATCCCCCAAACTGAAAGCCCCGTAAACCCAAACATCGAACCAATCTAAGGTTTCAGCTCTTCAACCCTAAACCCCACACCCGGAAACCCCACAACCCCGCACCCCGGCATGCTTCAACCATGAACGTGAAATTCTTGAACCGTATACCCAGAACTCTTAAACCCTGAAACCCCAAGTTTGGATTTTAACATCTTCGACCCAAGAACCCAAAGATCCAAAGTACTTATATGGGGGAGGCTTCCCAAATCATAACAGAGCAAAAAAGACCCACATTCTACTATGCAACATGCTTAGAGGACATTTGTTCGGACAAAAACCACGGACCGAAGCCACAGAGTCGAGATTCTCTTGCCGTGGCCCGCTTGTCCGCTTCCCAGAGGGCTTCCGCCGACGACACTTTCCGCACCTCTACTTGCCAGGTTCTCCAGTAACCCGTTAATAATAAGGGTACGCTTTTCCTTTATATTCGGTTTTAATAAAGGGACCCCAAACTAAAACGGGCACAAGGGTACTACTGGGGCACCTAGCTGGTCTTTACAGTAGCTTTCGTGTGTGCGGCAGCTATCTTAGTTGTAGTACTTGTAGTAGTCACGTGTATGCATATATGACTATGATTGCAACGGCTTTTTGCAGCTAGGAGTGGTGGAACACTCCAAAAAGCTCAAAGTGTAGGTACCATTTCTCGACTTTAGTATGGACAACAGGCGTCGGGCTTGCACTTGGAGTCTTAGGATCAGGAGGGTTTCAGTGTTGGGTTGAGGATTCACTGCGGTTTTGGGAGTGTTGAGAGAGTGTAGTTGGCCCTGGTGACTTGTTGGGATTTTTGAAGGCACCTTACGCTCCTCAGAAAGTAGGAGCTGTACAGCTCCCTTGATCTGGGAAAGTCAAGTGGTATGTTTATAAGAGTACAGAAGCCTACAACCTTTCAACAAAAATATGCATGCCGCAGCATTGGGTACAGCAGGGACCCTTGGAACAGCGAACTCCGGTTGCCGTTGAGAACCCAAAGTTTAAGCAGTAACGGATTACGGTTTGTGGACACTTGGGTAGTCTCTAAATGCCTAAATCGGGGTGCCTTCTTTAGTCCCCAAGACAGTAGGGCACCTCAGAAAACGCATCCTTAATTTAGAGAGCTACCTAATTACATGCAGCTAGGCTAAGTCAGGTAAGCCCTCCAACAGCACCTGGACCCTGAATTAGCAGGCAATTGGACACCCAAGCATTCGCAGTTGTTGCACCTCCTCGCGTGACATAACCCGTCCCGCCAGTAAAGCACCCTATGCCAACTTACAAGCCGGCGCAAACCAACAGGAGGGTTTAACAGTCGGCATACGGTGGCAGTGAAAAACCGCTCAGAATGCAAACGACCATACAGACCCTCAGCCCTAGAAACCTCACTGTCGGACCTCCAAAGAATATCTACTCATAGGTTCCAAAGTAGTTCCTTTTTTGTGGTTTATATTTAGAATCCTTTAAGATAACTCCAAAAAAGAACTACTTTGGAGCCTATGGGTACTCCTACATTCAAGAAGGGTCACCCTAGACCGGCCTTCTCGAGCATGTTGATCATGTCCGGTGGTGTGAAACCCCGTTCGTCGGAGAAGCAAAAGGATTTGAAGCGGACGCCATCACCCTCGAGCCTGGGCTCTTTTTAAGGACTCCTCTAATAGGGGCTCTATACGGGTTTATGGGCTTAGGGTCTTCATCACCCTCGAGCCTGGGCTGGACGGGGCATTCTGGGATTCTGGGCACTAGCTAGCATTTTCCTTGCAGCGGTTTCTGCAGCGGCTCTTTTTAAGGGATCCTCTAGGGGCTCTATAAGGGTTTATGGGTTTAGGGTCTTATTTACCCTAAACCCTAAGCCCTAAACCCTAACCCTAAACCCTAAGCCCTAAACCCCTAACCCTAAGCCTTTAGGCACAGTGCTTCAGGGATTTAGGGCTCTTGGGGGCGTAAGGGTTTGGAGACTCCGAGGTGGAAGGCTCAAGGGCCCGATCTCCAAGCTTACTCGGTGAAACTTCTTGATATTTAAAGGAAACTACAGGTGAGGAGGTTAGGGTTTCTTTTTATAAGGCTTCTATAAGGTATATAGGCCTTCTATAAGGCTCCTATAACCGTAACTACCCACATGAAAATGTCCTAGAGATATAGGGGCCTTCACAATTAGACTGGGGTGTTGGGGGTATATTTTAGTATAGCGGGAAAAAGACATTGGTAATACTTCAGGCTTCTTTTGTACACAGGGCCGGAGTCTCGGGAATTAGGTCTAGGCCTAAGAGACGATGCAAAGCTGTTCGGCATCGTTCTGCATCCGGAGACCGACCTGTACAAGCCTTCAGCTTGGCCTTGCTAAACCCTAAACCCCTGAACCCTAAACCCCTAAACCCCTAAACCCCTAAGCCCCTAAGCCTCTAAACCCTAAACCCCTAAACCTCTAAACCCTAAACTCTAAAGGCGGGGGTTTTGAGCTTTTGGTGGGGTTGCAAGCTGTACTCGGCTTGGCCATGCAAGGGAGTCCAACGAAACCCAGCCGCGAACACCCTGGTCCGAAACCCTTCGCATCCAAATAGCCCAAAAGCCTTATATAATAGGGCCTTTGGGCCCAGAAGCCTTAAAATGTGAGTCCTTTGAGGGCAACCGAAAGCCAAGCAACCCGAAAGCGTTGAAACCCTAAAGCCTAAAACCTAAGACGCTAAAACACCACACTCGAAAGTCCAAAACCCCCCAACCTAAATCCTATTGCACCCTTGTAGACCGCCTACAAAGTCCATTTGATAGAGCCATGACGGAAAGGATTATAAATCTGTATATAAATATGAACATATGCATACTATATACGAACCGAACAGATACTCACCAGGACTGAATGCCAACGCCAAAAACCGGAAGCCCTTTTTTGCAGCAGGCCTCGTTGCCGCCAGCCCGGTCTAGTCAAAACCACCCTTAACCCTAAACCCTAAGCCCTAAATCCTCAACCCTAAACCCTACATTGCCCTACATCCTAAATCCTACACCCTAAACCCTAAACCTTAAACCCTAACTTGAAGCAAGGAGAACCCAAAAGTGTGAATGCTAAACCCCTTCTCTGAGCCGCTATTCCCAAAGGGTCGTAAACACAGTCCCAAAGGGTGCAAGTAATAGTATGGGATATACTGTTGGGGCCAAATAATACCACCTAAGTAGCTACTAAGTACAGTCCCAACAGGTTCAAGTAAAGTATGGTATATACTTTTGGGCCCAAATATCTATGAAGTAGCTACTATATAGGCACCCGGACCAATTGGGAGTAGGCACCACTCTTCTGGTATGGGCAAAAGACTAAAGAATCGACGCCCAAACCACATAGGTACTTAGTACCTTTGGGCTCTACGCCCGAAACCCCTAAAAAAGCCTCTGGCCTATCCTAGACCCTAAAACCCTAAACCCTATCCTAGATCGAGTTGCTCGTCGAAGACAGGATGGGAAACGCCTTCGCCAATACCTGGGGCCGGATCTTCTCGGAGGATCTTTGGACTGCACTTCGTCAAGTACTCCCGGGTTCTTAGTAGGGAATGGGGGAATGGGTTATTGGGACTACTAAAGGGGACCTTAAGGGACTATCATAGGGATCCATTCCCCCATTCCCCACTAAGAACCAGAGAGACTTCGTCGAGTAGCTGGAAAGCTTTCCTCCGCGGGATGTAGAAAGGCTCCTTTATAAGGGAACCATTCAGTGTATGAGGGTTCCTTTAGGGGGGCTCTATGCGCGTTCTCTAGGTTTTGGAGGCCCATCCAGATATATATGTAATCTAGGGGCCGTAATAATTAGAATAGGGTTTTGGGGTATATTATACTAAGATTATCATAAGGAACCCCCCAAAATACGATTGGTAATTATTTAGGCTTCTTTGTTAGTACCAGCACATTGGAAAAAGTTGCAGCTCGCGGCAGTCCACAAGTTCCGAATCCGCAGCGCCAGACACCCACCCGGAGCTCAAAACCAACAAGCGGAAGGCATTACGCACTTTACCCGAAACTTTACATTCAATGCAGCCTCCATAAAATCCTAAATCTCTGAAAAACCCGTGTGCCATGCAAGGCTTGTAAGTATGCTACACAATAAACCCTAAACCCTAATTGGATTTCAGTGTTCAAGGCGCCTGCCCAAGGAATATGACACTGCGTCCGGTCGTCGTCGAAGCAGCAAACCTTCTCTTTCTCCTGAGAGAAGGGGGGGGGAGTTTGCGGCTTGCACAAGTTACAGAGGCCTTGATCAGAATAGGATTTAAGGATGTTCTTGCAGTAAATATGTAGAAAGGTCGCAGTGTCCGGTCTTTGAGGGCTCGGGACGGAGAGGTTTAAGGTTTCGGCACATGGTAGAAGCATTTGTCGAGCCTAAACCCTACAGTAGCCCCTAAACCGGGCGGGGGCCTGCCGGCTTTGGCATCAAGTGCTTCGCAGACTGAGCCTGATGTCGGAAACCGAACCGGAACTTGCATATAGGGTGCTTAATGATTGGAATAGGGCTCTGAAGTGCACGATGGTATGACTATACAGGGACTATACGGAAACAGCATTACATAGTACCTTTTCCGGCCCCTATATCGGGTGTTCAGTCCTGTCTTGTCCTATGTTTGAAGAAGGCATCAAGGGCTTGGGCATCAGATTTGCACGTGCAGGCTGTTCAACAGTCCGGTGGCATAATGTAGGGCCTTAACACTTTGAATGAGTTTTTTGGGTATACTGTACTATAGTCATAAGAATAATAACAATTATGGTTAGAATAATAACAATAATAATCATAATAATAATAACAATCATAATAAAAATAAGGAGGAGGAGGAAACCCACAAAAGTACTAGAAATTATTGAGGCTGCTATATTAGCAACTTGAAAAGAAAGACAACCACAAGCAACAAGACAAACGACCTGACGATGTCCCAAGACAGCGATTAGGCTTGTTGAGCAACAAACAAGCCGAGAAGGTAACCGAACCTTCTACCCCTCTACCCGAACGTCCACGATCTGGAAATCCCAAGTCCTGTCATCTGTCCGAAAATCAAACGACACAATGCGCGAAAGGAGTGCAGCGGCCAAACCTCAAGGTGAAACCTGAAAAAGCAGCACAGGGACTAGCATGAAGTGCAGCGCAATAGCATGAATTCACCTTGCACGTCAGGATAGACAGAATGCCAGCACCCTCGGGTGTCCTTGTCGGAGAGGGGACAATGTGTCTCCATGAGCTGCCTCAGCTGAAAACTAAACTCCCGACATGCCCAACGATTAAAGGCTTCCACCATCACCTGGTGGTTAACATTTACACGAAAGCTTGGAGGTTTCTCGTTTGGCGAGAGGGCAGGATGTGCTTGTTGAATCTGGTTGAGGGGACATCGTGGCAACATTCCCTAACCCCCCAGGAACCTACTATATAGGGTACTAGAGCCCCTAGGGCCCTAGGGCCCCATATAGTAGGTACCTGGGGGGTTAGGGATTCTTTTGTCTGTTAAACCTAGACGGTCAGCAGTTCTGCAACCGTACATCCTAAGACCCCAAACCGTGAACCCTGAAGCCGGAACTCAGAAAATCCAAACCCTAAACACTAAGCCTCAAAATCTAAACCGACCCCCAAAAGAACCTAAATGGTAAACCCTACCTTACCATAATCGACTCCTTTTGCAGCTTCTTGTGTAGGGACCCTGCAAGAAGTTGCATAGGTTCTGGTAGTTTAAGGTACACGTTTATGGCCCTAAACCCTAAACGTTTAGGGTTGAAGGTTCAGGGCATCATGTCATGCAACCGGAGGTCTTAGACTTAGACCAGGCTGTGAGATCTGCGAAGAAGGACAAGTTTGGTTTCATAACAACCATACACCCTAAACCCTGAACCCTACTTGTAGTCTCCATTTTAGTTTCTTTTTTTGGGGGCTTTGACCAATGCTATATGTAGGATCCTGAAAGGTAACCCCCAAAACGCGACTGCGAAGGAGACTATAGGTAAACCCCAGACCCTTAACCCTAAACCCTAAACCCTAAAATCTAAACCTACAACGGCCCTACACTTCGAACCCCAAGCAGAAGAGAACAAGGCCAGGTCACTTCTGCCGTGTCCAGACTTCCTTCCTCGGGGCCAACTCAGTCTTCCTATTCTCCTTAGGTTGAAAACCCCAAACCTCAAACCCCTAAACCCTAACCCCTAAACCCTGAACCCATAACAACTACACCCTAAACCCCATAACCTCTAAACCCTTAAATTCCCAGCCATCATCCAACCTGCTTCCAAGCTCTCACTTGGGAACTACTTGTTGGCGCAGGGTGCTGGATATGTCTTACCCTGAACCCTAAACCCTTGGGGTTAGGGTTAAGATCCTATACTTAAGAAATGGAGGGGCCTTAATAATAATAACAATGATAGTGATAATGATAATGATAATAATAATAATAATAGTAATAAAAAATACTACTACTACTACTACTACTACTACCACTACTACTACTACTACTACTACTACTAATAAAAGTAATAATAATAATTGGAATAGGGTTTTGGGGTAGATTACACGATAATTCTAGGAAGGAACCCCCCGAGATAGTCTTCGTAATTAAGGCCCGTAGACTACTTTCAGCTCCCAGGTGCAACATGAGATGTTGCGCATCAACCTCTCCAACCTGCTAGGGGCATGAGCCCCATGGAGATCAAGAATCATGAATCTAGGGTTTCGGGTTTAGGGCTTAGGGGTTTGGGGTTTAGGGATTAGGGGTTTAGGGGTTAGGGTTTAGGGCTCAAGAGCAAAGACATGACAATAGCTAAACTGCTAAGCACGGAGTGACATCTACGGGTTCCGTCGAACTGGCCGATCAAGCTACTGCAAAATGCGGCAGCAAGTGTTCATTGCGGGCTTAGCTGAATTGTTCCGCCTCTCCTTGATGTCCGTTCTCTGTGCGGAACCTGGACGCAATGTCGTACACAGCTGCATGGCTATGACTATGTCTCGAAGCGGGCCGGTATTCCAGTATGGCAAACAACCTGTACTCGCGAAACTGAAATGCCAAACCAACCCAAACCTCACCGTTTCACTCTAGACTAATAAAGGCATGCCAAACCTAAACCTCACCTCAGCTGGGTTACACTCTAGATTGATAAAGGCACCCTGCACATCTACGTGTTCAGGATCCCTCCACATCGGAAACGCCGGAACCCTACCCAGGCTTAGCTGGATGAAGATATCCCCAACCGGAAACCCTGAAACTTGACCTAAACTCTACCCATAGGCTCCTAAGTAGTTCCTTTTGTGGTTTATATTTAGGATCCTATATAAGGTAACCCTAGAAAAGGAACTACTTAGGAGCCTATGGGTACACTCTAGGCCCAGTTGCATGAAGATACTCCCTTTGCGAGAAGCCAAGAAGTTCGAGCTGAAATGCCGGGAGCAAGAACCTGAGGATACGGTTTAGGGTTTAGGGTTTATACAACACAGTATAATCCCTATATAGGGGCGTTCATCTTGGGATCTTACAATCTTGTGTAGGCACAGGAAAACCCTTTTGGGTGGTCAAGGCCTTGGGGGCTCTGGGTGTTTTTCCTCCTGTCGGCACGAAAATGAATATGCGCCGTGCCATTCCCGGCTGAGGGTTTCGGGTCGTTGTTTTAAGCTCGCGGTTTTACGTTTGAGGAAACAAAAAATCTCAAGTCTGGTGCTAGGGAGGGAGGGAGGGCGGGAGGGAGGGTGCGGGGGTGGGGGGGTGGGGGGGTGGGGGGTGGGGGGAAGTGGGGACAGTCATGTCTGCTTGCGTTTTGGTGTCAGGGTGACGGGTTTATGGTTTCAAGGGTCCTTTACGATTTGTGGTTCAAGTCTACAGTCTGCAGAGGTGTCGACCCCTGGCAAGCTGCCTGTTTGTACCCTTTTTCCTCGCTGAATGGATGTGATCAAGCCTCGACATTGCACCTGCATGGAATCTCGACCCCTCGGAAACACTCGATTCCACTAACGAAAAACAAACCCAGTAACAGCGCCACCTATAGACATGTACGTCTACAGATATATACATACATACATATATATATATGACATAAGTTTGTATGTGAATCCATGATGCCAGTAGGGTGTGTACATATACAAATAATATAATATGTATAGTTACACATCTATGTATGTATGTATGTATGTATGTATGTATGTATGTAGGTATGTATGTATCTATGCATGTATGTATGTATGTATGTATGTATGTGTGTGTATGTGTATGTATGTATGTATGTATGTATGTATTACAGGGTGGTGTCCCTGACGTATAAGTGGCCTTATAAGTACTGTATACATCTGCTAACATGACTTATAAGTCTGCTACCTTGACTATTATATGTGTATAACTTCTAGTACATGTGATATCTAAGATATGAATTTATAAACAAAGTTAGTGAACTTGTAGCACAACGTTGATAACTAACTTACAAACAAGTTACACAAGTTAGCTTCTTTTCTTCAACATCAAAATACCGGGCTCGACCAATAAATCAATAATGAATATGCAATCTGGCTCACGACAACATCAAGATCAATAAAAAATCTGGTTCCCAGCAAATGATAGCAAAACAACTAGGTGTTCGGATGCAAACTTTTCAGTATGGTTTATGAATAAGGCAACATACATGAAGTTGTAATTATTCAACTTAACATCCGCAGCGTTTTGGTTCATAGTCTTTGTGAACACGTTCACTATAAGGCCTGAGGCTGTTGCAAACGTAATGCCTCCGAAAGCACTTTGGGCTCAGCTCAAACCCTAAACCCTCAAACCACAAAGCCCCAAAACCCTAAACTCTTAAACCCTAAACCCCGATCCATGCCGCCAAGCTACCCTTCTCCAAGCTCCCCGAGCCCTCCTGAATGCTTGCTTTGATTCACGTCGGGCTTATGGCTTAGGGTTTAGGGGTTCGGTGTTTAGGGTTTTCGGGTTGAGGGTTTAGGGGTTTAGGTTTAGGGCGTTTAGGGTTTAGGGGTTCAGGGTCGGGATGGCTTCAGGTTTGGAGATTTAGTATTTAGGGGGTTAGGGGGCTTTAGGGCTATGGGTGTTGGGGTTGTAGGTTTAGGGTTTGAGGGTAGAAAAAGTATGATGGTAATGAAAGGTAATACGAGTAGCCCCTGGATGGGGTGTTTCTGGCTGAGTAACCCTAAACCGCCTAAACCGTCCTAGACCCCAAACCCTGAACCTCTACGGTTTAGGTAGTATTTCTGTTTTGGTTAAGAGCCGAAGACGCGGAAAATCTGTGGTTCGGGGTGTGGGGTTCCTTGTTTAGCGGTTCGTGAGATGTGACTTTAGTGGGGGAGGTAACCCAATATGCTCGGAAAGGAAAACAGCCTGATGTCCGCACTGAGACAATCTCTCTCGCTCTCTCTCTCTCTCTATATATATATATCTCTCTCTCTCTCTCTCTCGCTCTCTCTCTCTCTCACTCTAGCTTGAATCCGAGGACCCTAGACCTATACCTAGACGCATGCAGCCCCAAAACCATTCAATCTAGGATTTCGGGCAGGCCGCATCCATGTAGGAGACAAGGTCGTAGGACTGCGCCAGGTCGATAACTTCATCCAGGTCCTCTGCTTAAACGGGTTGATGTCTCAGTTCCCACGTTACGTTGCCACGACCTACTCTTGCTTCGCTGGTTCTTTTTGTACGTCTCTGGCTGGACGACGGCGACCCCTTCATGGCTTAAAAGTTCTAGGGTGTTTTGCATTTAGGTTTTTGGGAGAGGGTTTAGGGTTTAGGGATGTTTAGGGTAAGTTTAGGGGTTTAGGGTTTAGGGATGTTTAGGGTAAGTTTAGGGGTTTAGGTTTTAGGGATGTTTAGGGGAAGTTTAGGGGTTTCATAACCTCGCCTTCTTAGAGTCTTGCGCACGAGTAGCCCAAAGCTTAAGCCCGCAGGCGGTCTCGCAAATAACTAAACACTCCAAAACCTTGAACCCTAAACCCTAAAAGCTAAATGAACCTTGAACCCTAAACCCTCAACCCTAAACCGTCAACTCTAAACCCCTAAACCGAAACCCGCAACCCGATTCTGCTGGACCCAAAACCACGAACAAGCCAGAAGCAGTTCGGGGGACGAGACGCCGCGTTTTAGGGTTCAGGGTTTGGGGTCACAAGCTACAGTGGATCCAAACACAGATCTGAAACGTATTTTTTCAAAATACGGAGCTCCCAGAATTTCCAGACGCAAGATGTTCACAACATTGGCACACTCATTAATGCACATGAGATCTGGGAAAAGGAGCAGCGATCGGTACAGTCTGCTGCAATTACCGCCGAGTGGGGGTTTAGGGTTTAGGGTTGCGCTCCCCTGGTCTCTGAATCGTGTTGCAGCAAAATTACACATTGTACTTGCGTTGTTGAACGATACTCTAACCCTAAACCCTAAAGCCTAAACCCAAAACCCCAAGCAGATTTGTTTGTAAGCCAGTCAGATACAGGGCTGGTGTCACGGAAGATATGCGCGCGCAAGTTCCATGATTTGAACTTTATCATCCTCACAGGCTGCGCAATAGGGTTCTGTAATGGGGTTCCCTTGAAGGGGTGACTATACTTGGTTGTTGAGTTCATAAGCATAAAAATCAGTGTACACTTTCAGTTCTATAGGGGTCATCTCATCCCAAAAAGTCTAAAGTGTAGTAATTCAGCTCCTAAGTATAGGGCTGTCTTGAAAGGCTACTACGGGGGTTGAGGGTGTAGGTCTTCCTCGTGATCGAACGTGAGCACATGTGGGCATGGGTGTTGCAGATTTATGTGGGACTATGTGACTATCCGAAAATTAGGGTACCTTATTTTGGGGTCCTTATAATAAGGGTCCTACTATTTATGGTACTATATTGGGGTCCCCTATTTTCGGAAACCCCCATGTGCGTCTAGATGGTGTTTAACGTTTTGGACTAGGTTGCCTTCACGTATGAACACATATTTCCAACGTGCCCTGCAAGTACCTGTTCAAACAGGAAGGCAATTGACGAAGCATCGGAACATCCGGTGTCCTGGACGACAAGGAAGTCTGTGTCCATGTAAATGCCACCGTGATGGTACAGCAGCGCATACCTGCCCACATTGTCTTGCAGGTGAGAGACACACCTCAGCTACACTGCCACTTCCTCAACCAACACTTCGCCCTGCAGAGGAATCGCGTGTGTTCTGCTGCCGCAGAACTGAACAGAGCCCATCAAGAAAAACGCTGCCAAACCCTCGTCACTGCAGTCAAAACCCTGAAACCCCAACACACACGAAAGCAAAGCTCTGTACGGAGGACTGTTATTGATTTCATTGGTGTCTAGAATCCAAAGGGCTTGTACGTTTTTTTGTTACTATGGTTTTTGCGTAAAGTTTGACTGAAATGGGGGCTCCTTCTTGGAGGGTCGGTCCTGATACTGACGATCAGCTGTTTAGGGTGTCAACGAGGGTGCCATATACGTTAGTGCAGTAACCCTGCGATAACAGTTTCCAGCCTGATGATGTCTGACTTGGCCTGCGAATATGGCATTCCTCAGCAAGGGCCCTCAACCCTAAACTCCGGACCCCGAAACCCGGGCCCGGAACGCTTGAGCAGGGGTTGGGCGGGTTAGCATGGATGCTTTAGCTCCTTTCCTTTGTCGGGATTTGGCAGAGCCGGAATATACGTCCCCGATTGAAGCCAGCCGATGCCAGAGGGCACGACAGACATCCCACCTCAACCCTAAACCATATCACCTATTCGGCCTAGCCAGGAATCTGAACTCAGAAATCCTAGAAACCCATCAATAAAAGACCCCCCCAACGTATAGCACGCCGTCTCGCCGTCTAGCACTCTTGTAGGACAGCTCTTGAACCAAACCATCCCAAGCTTGGCAACTCTCCACCAACCTTAGAACTCCGACCCTGGAGCTCCTGCTGAAGCTGCATCAACAATGGGGTTTAGGGTTTTTCCCACCCGCCCAGCTGACTAAGTCTAGGGTTTAGGGCTTAACAACAACTATCGGAGACCCTAAGCCCTTTTTTGCATCTGGCTTGCAGCGACTCAACGAGGACAGAAACAACAGGCATACCCCAAAGCTTCCAGAGTTTTATGCCTGAAGCCTTCCCTAAACTCCTAAACCCCTAAACCCTAAACCCCTAAACCCGAAACCCTAAACCCACCACTACTTTGGGGACTCCTTGTTATGATTATAGCAGAATAGGGTCCCTTTTAGGGGTCCCTTTTTATAAGGGTGCCGTACTATCTTGGGGACCAAAAAATGGGCCCTACTTTAGAGAACCCCTAAACCCTAAACCCCTCAACCCTAAACCCTAAACCATGTCTCTGCCCTAAATCAGGACCAGACTTGGAAAACCACAACAGATGCACTTCAGGGCTCGAAAGTACTCCGTCGGCATATCTGGGATGTAGGTCCTCAGCGGCTTTGGGAGTCGTGGGCTTAGCAACCATGCCTTCGGGGTCGCTAGGGTTTAGGGTTGTAGGGTTTGGGGTTTTAGGGTTTAGGGTTTTAGGGTTTAGGGTACCAGAACACCAATCCGAAAGGTAGGCCTCCTACTAAAGGGACCTCTGTACTGCACAAGTTCGTGCTGTCTATGGCCCTATCTATGCTGGCTCACTGGCCCAAAGCATACGACATGGATGCCTGCATCTTTTGACCAGGGTCGCCACGAGGTGGGGTTTTGGTAAAGGGCAAAAAGCAGCTGGAAGAATCATCCCAAACTGGGAAGCCACACCACCAGGATGGGAAGTACAACTCTCCCTGTAAGGCTCTCTCTTTCCACGAGAATACACACTCAAACCCTGCTTTCTCAAACTGCGAAGCTACTTATAAAAAGCATTATTGCTTTAGGGTGCGCGGCAAGAGCCGGACTTCCTTCAGTGCGTGACACTGCGACGTGTCCGAAATGCTCCGTCTACTGTGGACTGCATGCTTCTTGGGTGGCAACTTTGGGGTCAGGCTTCATGGGTTTTCTGTTGGCGTTTGCACAGGAAGGTTTTTTTGATAAGTTTTGGGATTGCCCAACGTCAACAAGTTTGGAGAGTTGGGATGGTTTAGGGTTTTGGGTACCCTGGACCCTCCCGAAACCTCAAAGCTAGACCCTTACACCCTGAACTGCGGGCTCTATCCTCAAACCTAGACCCTTAATTCTCGGATCCTTACGGGAGGGTGGTTCAAGCGGGGAGGGTCCTAGGGATCCTTAGGGAGCTTTAGGGAGCCCTAGGGAGAATTGGGGATTATTGGGTTATATACCCCTCTTAGAACCCCCTCCCTTAAGGATCCCATACTCCTAAACCCTAAACCCCTAAACCCCCAAACCCTAAACCCTAAACCTAGACCCTTAAACCCTGAACTGCGGGCTCAGGATCCTCACGTTCTCGTCGCTGATGAGCACAGGCTCTCCACAGAGCTGGTGAGCGTGCCGCCGCCAGCCTTCTGGGGGTTTAGGGTTTCAGGGTTTCAGGGTTTAGGGTTTTTGCCTCCCATCTTGCTAGGACGAGCCCGCATTGCAGGGTATAGAGTTTCGGGTCTGGAGTTTAGGGGTTTAGGGTTTAGGGTTTCAACCTTAAGCTGCCCCAAACCCTACACCCCTCGCACATAGCTAGGATCAATGCCCACAGGCGAGGATATATAGGACAGCAAACGACGAAAGTGCCATTCTCTGGGCATGTGGTTTATGGATTAGGGTCTTGTTAAGCCGACCCGGGCCATCAAAAACAAAACGGCCTTTCTAGTGCTCCTCACTATGATTTCCTTGTACATGCCCTCAACACATAAAGTCTTTTTTGGTGGGGTTGAGCTTGGGTCAAGGGTTTCCAATTTGGGCTTTGGTCAACAGCCCAGAGCCCATAAACCCTAAACCCTACACCCCGAGACCTCTCAAAACCAATAACTTCCTATAAGACCAAAAAGGCTCTCATCCTACAGGATCCACCAAGGGCAAACCCTCAGTGCCAAGCCTGGACCCGAGACAACCTACCCTAAGGGCAAGTACAAGGAAAACACAACAAGGAGCCCGGCAGCAGTAGGATATTTCGGGCTTAGGTCACCCTACCAGCCCTTAAACCCCAACGCTAAAACCCCCGCCCCCGTCCCGATCGCGAGCTCCCTACAAGGTGCCTGTAGTATCCACAGAATCGACCCCCACCCAACCCGCATCGTAAGGTTTTGGTTTCGGGTTTACGCTGGTGTTGGTGTTCTTTTTTAAAGGAAACTACAGGTGGGGAGTTTAGGGTATATAGGGCTTCTGTAAGGCTTGTATAGGGTATATAGACCTTCTATAAGGCTCCTATAACGGTAACTACCCACCTGAAAAATGTCCTAGACCCTAAACCCTAGACCCTAAACCTCGAACTTTTCGCGCGCCCACCAGCTTTACAGGCACTTTGCAGCTGGACCCTGGCCGCATCAGAGCTCGCAGATCCTTCAGGGTCCTAGGTTTTAGGTTAGGGTTTTAGGGTTTTAGGGTTTAGGGTTTAGGGTTGAGGGTTTAGGGGTTAGGGGTTTAGGGGTTTAGGGTTTAGGATAGGCTCCATTGTGGTTCCTTTTGTTTTTCATATTTAGGATCCCATAAGGCAACCTTAAAAAGGAACTACTATGGGTCCTAGGTACTGGTATGTGGGATACTTTCACAAGTCATGTAATCATCATTCCTAAACCCTAAACCCTGAACCCAAAGCATGTAATCATAATTCCTTTTTTGAGCAGGGACTGCAATGCACTAAGCCCTAATTCCTAAACCCTAAAACCTGAACACAAATCATGCAATCATCATTCCTAAACCCTAAACCCTGAACCCAAATCAAGTAATCATAATTCCTATAATATAGAAACCCTCTACATTAATTCTACCACGTACCTGAAAAGCCAAGTAGCCCAAAATAACAGACTCCCATACTCTAAAGTAGCCCGTAATTGGCTCAAAATACAGACTACTGGCTTTCCAGGTAAGCACTTCGGACCCTGTGAAGGTGGAAAACTCATCTTCAAGCTCTCCCGAGCTGCAGGCAAGCTAGTTCCTGCACTCTAAGGGTCCCAAGGACAGAATGTCTTTGGGGGGGTTCTGAAACCCTAGGCTCGGAGGACTCATATATATATATATTTTTTTTTCTTCTTCTTAAAGGCTGCTTTTTTGGCTGCAAAGACCATGCTAGAAAAGTCTTGTGGGCTATTTTGATTCGGGAAAGGGTTTGTGGTTTGGGTGTAGGGTTTAGGGTGTGGGGGGGGCTTTATGGCAACGTAAGAGCCTCATGGATCCATCCCAAGGGCCAGTAATGTAGCTACTTGGGTTTAACTTTTCGTTTTGCAGCTTTTTTGGGGGGAGTATGTGAATTAGGTACTTGGGCCCCCAGTGCAACCTAATTGTTGCCGAGTCTTTCCGACACAGCTCCTCTGAATCCATGAAAAGATATCCTGCACTGGCTGAGTAGCAGCCATGCATGTCGGCGGCCTCCACCAAAGTCTCTATCTGTATACAGAGATGGGAGAGGCACGGAGAAAGGTCGAGAGAGAGAGAGAGAGGGAGATGGAGATGGAGAGATTCAGGGAGAGACCAAGTGGCAGAAATTACGGTTTAGAGTTTAGGGGTTAGGGTTTAGGGTTTAGAGTCATGGTGTGGTAGATAGTGCGAGCTTGCTGGCCTGAACAGACACCAGCTTGGGCGGAGCAAAAGACGCTGTCTCTTCAAATGTCATAGATAGGTTGTTCCCAGAGAGCCCGGTACCCCTTAGTGAACAAATAAGACTTGTAACAGCCCCTGATGATTTTAAGGTGCACCTCTTGATTACGGAAAGTGGTATGGATCTTACTGTTGGTGTCCCCATGAACTGAAGAACATACCTTAACTCATCCAGTAGCATGCAAGGTACATCTCGCTGTTGAGGAATACACCTTCAACGATCTTATGGCTCAAGGCAGATCGCTGTAATTATAAATCTCTCTGGGCTGCAGACTTCGGATTCCTTCGCGCATACAACATAACACATACATGGAAGGGTTTAGGGTTTATAGGGTATAGGGTTTAGGGTTTACATGGAAGGGGTTTAGGGTTTATAGGGGTGTAAGGCGCAGGATTGAGGGGTTGGGATATGCTTGGAATCAGCAACGAACCCGAACGCCACTGCGGAACTCGCATGCGACCTTGCTGCAGGCAGCAAGGTCGAATTGTGACTCGACGCCCGGTCTAAGTTCAGAGACTATGCTCCGGATTCAGTCTTTAGGGTTGTTTTTGCATTACTTGTCCATCCACATGCAGCAAGATCCGCTTCCTACTTCCAAACGGGCTGGCGAAACACAGCGCATGCCAAAGCGATCAGGAAGGGCAGCGCCAGCAAGTAGCAAACAGCCATCAGAAGGCCCATGAGGACGAAGGCAAGCCACTTGGAGCAGCCCAAACGTTTCCGAAATCCTGTGATCAGTCTAGGGTTTAGGGTTTAGGGTTTAGCTTGCCACACTTTCCAGAATCTAGCACCAGTGCCATAACCTTTTGCCCGGAAGCGTAAATCCCAAAACAACTCTTCTTCCAAGCCTCCAATTCGAAGCCCGTTTTAAGCCGTGAATGCTAAGTTTCAGCACCCCGCAAGCGCTCCTCCCAGCAACTTCGAGAAGAATGGAGCCAGGAGCAGCGCAAAGGCTAGTAGGAAGGGAGTAGTACAGCTTCCATAGCTGAAGTACACCGCCGTGAGGTACCTTGGCTTTGAAGAGGTTGTGTGCTACAAACATCAAGGCACAGACCAGTGCCTGCACGCGAGAGGCATGTTCAGGCATGGTCTTGGATGGTTCGGGTGTACAGAACTCTTCGCAAAGCCGCAAGGCGCCTTGGAATTGCGTCCTATACTATACTGCTATACGGTATGCATCTGCAAACGGCAAGCGATAATCTAGACTGCTGCTTCCTACCGCAGACATGTATACAACAGGAGTTCCATGATTCAAGCCCTTACAGAAAGGAGGTTTCATTGATCGGGGTCTACACTACAAGTCGTATCAAACTGTAAGTCATACAGCCTCATTGCAGCAAGCTAGCACACAAAAATTGGGAAAAGGCCCCACATCACGCTACAGGTTAGTTAATGGGGTCTTTCTTATGCAACCGGGTATGAATCTTTATGGCCGGACCAAGGCACACCATGTACTGGGGCTTCAGCTTCAATGGCGAGAAGAGAATGGGGCTGCCACCAGTTCTCATGATGAAGACCGGCCAACTAAGGGCGACCATCATGCACATATTCCTTGGGCGAACACAACGAGAAAATGCAGGCTCTTCCGGATGATGAGCTACAACAAATGGCTGAAGAGCACGTACTTTGCTACCCCACGTCACCTGTGTAGTAGTGTGCTGCACAACTACGGTGATAGATCGACCGAGCATCGGTTCCAGAGGGGCATATATGTATGTAGATGTGTAGATAGACTAGATAGATAAACAGGTACATAGATGGATAGACGGATAGACAGACAGACAAACAGACCGACAGATAGATCGATAGATAGATAGATAGATAGAGACAGAGAGACAGATAGAGAGATAGACAGATAGATACATAGATTCTATTCGATAGATACATGGATAGATGGATGGATGGATAGATAGAGAGAGAGAGAGAGAGTGATAGATAGATAGATAGATAAATAGATAGATAGATAGAGAGGGAGAGAGAGTGAGAGCGAGAGAGAGATAGAGATAGAGATAGAGATAGAGATAGAGATAGAGATAGAGATAGAGATAGAGATAGAGATAGATAGAGATAGAGACAGATAGAGATGGATAGAGATAGATAGAGAGGTAGATAGAGACAGATAGAGATAGATAGAGATAGAGATAGAGATAGAGATAGAGATAGAGATAGAGATAGAGATAGAGATAGAGACAGATATAGAGATAGATAGAGATAGATACAGAGGTAGATAGAGACAGATAGAGATAGATAGAGATAGAGATAGAGATAGAGATAGAGATAGAGATAGAGATAGAGATAGAGATAGAGCTCGTACATGTAACGGTGTAGAGATAGAGATGGAGATAGAAAGATAGAGATAGAGATACAAAGATAGATAGATAGATAGATGGATAAATAGATAGATGGATAGATCGATAGATAGACAGATAGATAGATTGACAGATAGACAGATAGTTGCAGAAAGGTAAATAAATAAATTGATGGCTTCTGCTTAGGGTTCAAAGTCTGAAGGGAATCAAGAGTGCGCGAGCCGGACCAGCACATCCCGTGCCATGCAAGATTTACGCGCGCTCCGCGCCGCAAAAGCAGAAACAAAAACACCCATTCTCCACAACGGCCTTCGCACTTGTATGATTTGTGCCGAGTAAATAAACCGACCCCACGGCTGAAGCCCCACGCAACCTAACCAAACGCTGGAACTATCTCCAACTGCGTCGCCCAGTATGCCTTAGGACGACACGGCTGTTACAAATTCTACAAATTTCAACCCCAACCCACTCACCCGACTCGAGATCTAAAGCCCTCTAAGCCGCGGACTTGACAACTTAGTCTGAACCCTGAACCGTAACTCGAACCCTAAACGGCATCCAGGTTCAGTGTTCCTACGAAGGAGTAGCTGAAGACCATGCCAGCTCCATACTTTTTCATCTCCTTGAAGCTTCTGCTTCGGTTTCGGGTTTACGGTTTAGGGGTTTAGTGCTTTTGGTACAGGGGTTTGGGGTTTAGGGTTTGCGGTTTTTGTTGCCTCCCACCTAACTAGGACGAGCACGCATCGCAGGGTACAGTCGAAAGCACAGTAGACAAAGCATGTGTTAGTAACTAGGGTTTAGAGTCTAGAGATTAGGGTTCGGGTTGAGGGTTAAGGCTTAGGTTTGTTGGCGGCTTGAGGACTGGGAAGTTCGCGCGGAATGCGGACCACCAGTATTCATGCCGTAGTCATCCGGACCAGAAGGCTTTGCGAGAAGGGGGCCCTTTCTTGCTGAGATGTCCTCATATGCTTGCTGTAGCTTTCCTGCGATCCACCGCTTGACCTGTTAGTTATGCGATCTGCTTGACCTGTTAGTAATGAGATCTGCTAACAACAGAAACTCCATTTTCACCCGTAGCAACTGCAGAACAAGTCTCTAGGTGTGGACAAAACCCGATCAACTCCATGAAGGCTTATAACCATTATTCATTAATAACAAACAACAATGAACCAGAAGAGGAAGCACAGACGTTGAACATCAAAGACATCCCATAAAGGAAATGCGGTTCCTCTTTCGTTGGCTTCTTGGGCAGCCGTTTCCTCAGCTTCCCGAGGAAGCCACTTTTCTCCTAGCAGGGTTTGGGGTTAGTGCCAAGACTTACTGTAACGGTCCAAACTGTCCAACAATGAGGTACTTGGGCGTAGGACCCTAAACCCTAAACCCTAGAGAGTAGTAAGGTAGGGTAGAGTTTAAGACTGGAAAGGGTCTACTCGGATATAAGGCTTGGGGATTTCAAGGTCCGGGGTTGAAGGGCTGGTTTGGGTTTTAGGCTGTCTGGTACAGTATCGTATATACTGTATGTATAGCATGTCGCACATAGCGTATAGTGTACAGTATGACGAGAAAGTATACGTAGGAACATGGCCTCGGGTATATAGAAGATATTCCTTAAGAAAGGGGTATGAGGGCATAATGTCAAGGATGCCTATGTGCTTCGATGTAAGGAGGACAGGCATCAGAGGTTTAACATCATGCTTTAGGCGAGGACTGCATTTCGGGTTTAGTTGTGGGTGCGTCGAAAGCTGGCAGCAGCACCCTTCCTGAAGCTGCGCTAAGGTCCATTACTAGTTTGTTTGATACAAGGCACCCGGAATTCGGATAGGTTCTGCGAGCACTTCTGCAGTCGGAAATCGCTGAATCTATCTGTAGCCAACACCAAATCCCCACAAGCGTGCACATCGTCGGCATCGTCATGGTGCTTAGCTCGGTACGGACACTGGCTTTAACGCCTCAGGTTTAGGAATTTAAACCCATTCTTCTACGGTCAGTTGGGGAAGCTAAACCGCACCTTCCGGGCCCTTTTGCCGAAAGAGCCCGGTATGAACTTAACCCATCCGCAAGCCCATTGTTTAATGCCCCAAGGCAGAGGGCTAAGCAACAAAGCCTAAACCCCAACCCTCACCGGTGCCCCCCGCCAACCCCCATGAACTGCGGTCTGAGCCTCCGTTTCCTCCGGGTCTTCCTTGCCACCTGCTCGGCTGATACTCACCGCTCTAGTTTGTTTTCTGCAGTTTCTCCTCGCAATATCGGTGTTGCGATAGCCTTGTGGCTGCCCTGGTCCGTGCTATCTCTCTCTTCTTACGGATATCGCGACTCATGCCCATGTTGTGGCTGCTATATCCACAACGGAGTTTCAGGGAATCAAGAAGCGCTGCCTGTGGATTCTGCGTTCCTGGCGTTGCGATTTAGGCCAACATTTCGGGGTGGGTGTCTCCTGCTGAAGAGGCTGCAAGCATGTAGAGCTTAGGGAACCACCCAAAAGACACACACACACACACAACTGAATATATACCTACAGATGATATATGTATCTATACATACATACTTACATACGTACATACATACATACATAAAGAGTTGTGCTACTAACTCGCCAGCCCCCTATGCGAGTGGTTTGGATGCTAACATGATTCCAAAGAGCCTCGCCTGTGGCTCGAACGCGCTGCATGCGTCGAGACTGGGCGCAGCTGAAGGCAAACGCGAAGTAGCCGGCGGCACATGGACACCAAGCTTTCTTGGCACCTTCCCGCGGCAAACTGACCCTAACACCAAACCCAAAATACTAAACCCTAAAACCCTCAAATCAGAATCCCATGACTACCATATACGTCCATGAGCTACCTAGATCCCGAGAGAAGCGGATCAGGAGATTATGGCCTAGGGTCTTGTAACTGGTTTGCGGTTGCTTTGCCCTGAGCCCGCTACCCGGCACTCATGCAAATACGCAGGTGCACGCACACACACACACACACACGCGCGCACACTCACACTTACATTTACTTTTTAGGGCATCGGCAAGAAGTCAGCTGCAACCTTTTTATACACCCTTGCGGGCGACCAACCATTTGTTTCTATGAGACAGGGGCAGTTCCTTCTCCCATCCGCTATTGCAACTCATCCTCAGACCAACGCGGGTGTAAGCTGCTATTGTCGAAGCACCCCCTATGCCCTAAACTTGCCCTAAACCCTAAACCCTAAAGCCCTAAACTTGCCCTAAACCCCATAAATCACTGGCCGGAGCTCTGCTCACGACGCAGATTCTTCAGGAAGGATAGCCCTCGGCTCTTCACGATCTCGAAAGGCATCCAAGGGATGCACCCCCGTTTTGGGTCTTGTACTCCGGAGGGGGGTGGAGAAGTCCTGGAGAAGTACGTATGGAGGCCAAGCGACCTGTGTTTCAGATCGGCCTAGCCTGGCCTTGGGCAGTTCCCTGGCAGGTCGATGTTAAGCCCTCAAGCAAGCAAGCAAGTCATCCAGCAGGTGGAAAAGTAACTCAACCCCTGACCTGACACTGCCCTGCACGAAGAACTGCAGAAGGCACGGTTGGAAGCGAGGTCATGCTCCAAGAGCTATCAAGCCGAGCCCGCAACAACCCCGGGGATTCAACCACCGAGTCGCGCAGTAGTTCTCAGCATCGACCTCACACTACGAAATTCAGAACTCAACCATGAAGTTCGCGCCAAAACCTAGAGAGGGATATTCAGAAATTCGCCACATGGCACGTAATTTCGATTTCAGGGCGTGTTGTCACATGAACCAAGTGGTGTTCGCGCACACGATAGCAATTCCTAATTTCCAAACACCCATCTTAAAACACTAGACACTCAGAGAGGGCCCACCGGAGCTGCCAAGAGAAACTAGATAACTAGATTAACCCAAGCTGCAATTAGGAATGACACTGCTCTGCGGGTAGTACGGAACGGGTGGACTCCTCGGTGATAATTACTCCCGCCGTGCAGGACAAGATATGGAGTCCAGTTCAACGCCCTGAGCTACGGACCTTTAGCGCTCCACCAGACGTTCACACAATGGTGATATACACGATAAGGGCAGCTGGACACCATCTGTGTGAGACGGCTGCTCAAGAACGAACGTCTCATTAAATTCGAAGCACAGTCCTCAAAAGCTGAAAACATGGCTTCGCTACCTCCGGTTCACCACCAAATAGATAGTCACAGCGCTGCTTACGTCCGGCTGCCAGGTTTCTTTCTCAAAAACGGCTATGTCAGTGATCGGATAAATCTGAGTCTAGATATGTCTAGATGCCTGGGCGGCCTTTGCCTGACCGGAAGGCTGTGACCATCCTGGCGGATTCCGCTGTGCACGGGACGTGACGCCGACCTGCTTGTCTAGCCTCCTTACAACAACTGTCTTCACGGGACCTTATAATACCCCGATAGGTATAGGGTGACCTGCTCGACTAGCAGTAGGCCAGCTCCATCGAAAAAAAACGCGGCCCTGGCAGCACCAAAAACAGAAGTCTCGCCATAAACACAAAACCCTAAATGCTCAACCCTCTCCTAAACTACAGAAATCCTGCATTTCAGAAACCGTGCCACCGCTGGTGCTCGGAGATGCCGATAAACATCTGGATTTTGTGCAGCCGAGATGAACAGCCCTAACTACTTATTCCATAAATCGGTTGGTCAATTGGATAAGCTGCTTGAGCCCTCAACCCTACAACTTGCATGATTTCATCAGCTATTGCTCTTTGCCGAGGGCTGTCTCTCAGCTGCTCTGTACAGGAGGCTTGTCGCGGCTTTTGCCATCACTGCAAAGGAGCATCCGGCCAGCACATCCCAACAACGTCGCAGGAGAATGCAGTTAGCGCACTGCTCCAATTTGGGGCTTAGGACGTCTAAGGTGTGTGTGTGTGGCCGTATAGCATTCAGGATCACAAGCCCAAGGACGCAACTGCTTTCAAGGAAGGCAGGCACAGCTCTTGACTTG